CATCAGTCATATTGTAGACATTTGCTTTAAGGTTTATGACTGTAACTAAATTCACCTCATTTAATCATTCTAATAAATCTGCAACTCAGTAGAAACCACTAAATGAGATATTAATAGTACACTAAATATACCTGTTAGACAGACTATACAAGTAAAATATAGAAGTACGATGAAAAATATTTGCATTTGTTTAAATGCTAGACTTCTGTTCATTCACCAATACAGAGATACAGAAAAAAGATTAGCAAGCACATCTTGTCCATGTTTTGGAAGAATTGCCCCCGTTTACCATCTGAGTATATTCAAGGCCACTTCTCTTTTTCTGATAATATATAAGGACTTTATGGGCAGAATTTACAATTTAAAACAAACATTTGGAACACAATAGCAGGAGCTAGGAGAAGGCTCATATACCACATCTAAGTCTCCTTGTACAAAAGAAAACAACTGATTGCAACAAAACTTTGATGGTGACTTGCACGTTGTTCACACCAAAAAGCTAGATGTATAGCCTCTACAAAATCTGGTGGGTGGGGTTTGGTTTGTTTATTTTAAGGCATTTAATCCCAAACATCATCAATTATGTTGGGAAACCTGCTGATGTTTAACTATACCTAGGCTCCTTTCTTTGACTTCAGTCATGGTACAAAGCACAAGCTCTATAGTAAACTGCTAAACTGTAGGACTGTACATTCTACAGCAAACGTTCTCTAGCTTCCATCTCACCAAGGTAAAGCAGATAGAGCACAAGGTCCTTTATGTTTTAACAAATGGCACATCCCACTTCAACATGTCACTTCCACAGCATGCGGTGCAAGGCTGCCAAGTGGAACAGCAACTAAAACTTATCAAAACAGAAAGCAGAGAAAGATGTTTTCCCTGCACACGTTTTCCAGCCTCCCAGATCCAAGTCACACAGGAACACTGCAATAGTACACAGACCAAGAGCCCCTATAGTCTAAATGTGGTATTTATCTCTGCATTCAACATCCCTGTTTTTTCAGTTACAGTCGTGACACTGAGTTTTACTCATTTTATATGTGATAGAGTTTTACTCTCACACACGCAACCTTGTCTGCAGGTGACAGGTTATTCATAAACCTGGTTGTCCTGGAAAACCAAGACCTCTTTCATCTAACCATTGCCACTAAACAATGATTGCACACAAGGTCCACCCTGACAGGCACTGTGCAAAGTGCCGTGTTGTACCAGGAAGTCATTTGCCCACCACAGTTTTGTTTTTTTTTTTTTAAAAAAAACACCTAGAATATTCAGTTACTAAATCAATTTTTATCACCTTTTCCTTCTACCCTAAGAGAATTTTCTTTATGCTGCACTATTAAATGCTATCCTGAAGTCTAGTGAAATTGCTACAATTGTCCTCGTTTTACACCCTCACCTGTGAATTCTACAATTCATTTACAGAATTCCAGTGAACGGGCATGGCATGACTCTCCTATTACCCACCTACAACTTCTTCTGTTTCCTGAATCACTCTTATTTCTTTCAAATTGTTTCTTCTTTTTTTTTTTTTCAAAGTTTCCTTCCTAGAAAAGAGCAACTTAACAAACGTGCAGATTCAGAACCTCTCCCTATTCAACTGGTTATACCTCTGTCCTCTGCCTTTAATGCTGTAATTTCTTCCAACAAAGATTTCCCTATTTTACTTTTTCTTTTCTGAAGAAATCCTAAGATATAATCTATCTGATTCTAGGTCCAGCACTCTGTCAAATTTACTAATGGTGATGACACAGCATTGTCCTGCCTTGTCATTTCAGCTCACCTCAGCCTCATTCTGTTCTGACCTACTGCCAAGATTTCAGTGCCTTTTTGAGGTGCTAAAGTCCACTTCTTACAGAGAAATTGAGAGCTTTCCTAGGAAATAAGTCTTATCTGTCTCTATTATACAGCCGTACTGTCTATATATTGGTAACTATGTATTTGTAAAGATTTTCTTGTGTTCATCTCCACTTCTCTTTCCATTTTTTATGTCACTTCAACTATGGCAGTATCTATTTTAATGCAGAAGTGCATTTGGTCTTGGTCGGCACCCTTTTCCGCCACCTTCCTTCATGACAGTTTCCACATGTAGTTTGACATAATCCAGTCCTTAATTACATAGTCTAGTCTGCCACCTTTACAGTAAAGCAATTCCTTGTGCATGAAATTCATTTTTCTACTCAAAAAGTATGACAGCCTGATAATACATATTTTAAAAAAAATTGCTTTCCTCTTCAAAATTAGTTTTTTGGTTTTATTTCTAAATTCCCAGCAATCATAATATTCATATCCAGATTATGCCTGTCCTTTTTATTTCTCCATACTTTTCATTAAAAAATGTAAATATAAGAAATTACCCTGGCAAGAATGTGTGATGTTTACCAGTAGTTCACCGTGCAATTTAATTTAACTACACATATGTTTTCTTTTCTAAAATACAAGTAACAATATTGCGGGTTTTTTATAAAGACTATCACAGTGTTATCCAGTAAGGTCAGAGGAGCATTACTCTGATTTTATTTTTTAATAAAATTATTTTTTTAACAGCGCTAAAATAGATCGTAGAATCAGGCACTAAGTCTGTCTTTTTCTCTCATCATAAAATTATCATTTCTCTGTTATGGTTTTGCTGGACAATACTAATAAGATTTCTTATTGAACTACAGTTATGTTATTTCAGTTGTAGCTGGAACAACTGTTTGGTGTATGTACACATCCGTAACATAAAGCATATATGGGATGACTCCAGGAGAAGAAAAATGTTTATTATATCTTCAGATAGTATTACATTAAATTTATCACCTTGGCTTATATCTATTTTTTCCAAACTATATCGCCTGAAGACAAAGCCCCCAAATTACTGCAAGACAACATAAGCAGTTCAAAGCTGTCACGACACGTTCACACCTCTCTTACCTGGTGCCAACCCCAGCACTTGTACAACGAAACCTATATGACTGGTAACTGATAATTTTTCTGTTATCTGTTCATTTTTAGCCAGATTCCACTCACAACATATCACTGTTAAACTTGCTAAAAAAAGGGGCAAAAGTGATGCCTCTGGTGCTACCATGGGTAGAATGGGAATGTTTCTTAAATTAGCCATCTACACTTGTAAAAATCTGAAGTGGCCCCAAAACCACGGGCTGAGAAAGTCAGACCACTACTTTACACTGAGGGTTTTACTGTTTACTAAAATGCACACAATTCTAATATTAGCTGGTTTGCAGTAGCTACTATTCCATGTAGTGACAGATTATTCTTATCCTTAGTGACTCTAATAATTATTAAACTGCAAGACACTTTCCTATAATCTCCTGTTTTCTTTTCAATTTCTGCTTCTCAGTCAGAAAGTAAGAACAGGCTTTGTTTCCCCTATTTCCATGTGCACCTATTTCAAAAAGGCAACTAGAACTACATTCATGTGTGCCATTCAAGGCACATTAAAAAATATACATAATATATATTTTATCCACAATTCAGATTTCAACAAAACTTTGAGGGTAAAAACATTATTGCATTTCTCCAGTGCAATTTCATTACTTCAACATTACCAGATTAATAAATATGCAGTAAGAGTCTTGCTTTGAGTTTTTGGCACATTTAAACCAAATATCCAGGTGTGCAAATTAAGAAAACCAGTGTGAAAACATTATTTTTATGAACTAATGCAAACATCCTTGTTTCAAAGAAATATGATTAAGGGTTTGTCTTGTATTACTCTCAGGGGGAAAAAAAAAAAAAATCACAGTCAGACAGGCAGTTCACTGAGACTTTCGTAAAACTCTAGTTGTCTACACTGCATTTTACATTCACTGTAATCAAAGACTGAGAACATACTACAATGGGTTTCTCCCAAGTATCATCTGTTGATCTTCAATATAGAGAGACAAAGGTTTAACTTGTCCACCATGTTTTTGCATTTTTTCTTGAATCTTTACAAATAATTTTAGTTTTAAATATAGTGATGCTTTTGTGTGGATGGACAAAACCCAAAGAAAGTCCTATCAAAAAGCAGTCAGGTGGTGTATGCTAATTCAGCAGCTGACAGGCTAATCTTGGTGAAGAACTTCAGCTTGAAACAAGAACGACATCAATCTCCTTCTCCTTTATCACTTGGTCAATTTGCAACATTCTGGAAAATTAATATCCAGCCTCTTGAGCACCTAAACTAACTACAGAATATTTTACCCTGTACATTCTCCAATTTCAATAGCTGTCATTTCAAAAACATGAAAAGTTAGTTTTCTATTACTGCAAGTCTGTTTATAAAGTCAGAAAGTATGCAATCCCAGACAAGACAAAAAATAGCTTTTTATGAGGCAAATAACTCATAAATGCATGAATTACAACTCAGTAGTAGTTCATGACACAGCCCTCACTAAGTCAACTAGTTAATATATTCCCTCCTCCATTTTTATATAAAGTATTTCATTCTCTTTCTCTACAGAAACAAAACCAAAAAAACGCCCTAAATAAATGACCTACCACTTCACAGAAAGCATGGCTGACTCAGCATTTCTTGTTTATATAACAGAGAAATCTTCAAAACACACATTTAAAGGTCAAAAAGATTTAAAAAGAAAAACTGCCCTATTTTGATGCGAGCAGTCAAATAACAACCATATGATGTTAGCATAAAAGACAATTATCCTAATTTAAAAGGCATCTGATTAAACCTTAAAAGCCAAAGGTGATAGCTTATACCATCCACAGTTTATAAAACAATGAATATCACTTAAAAGGTGAATGATACTAGCTCAAATGACAGTATTTGGTCACAGTAAATTAAAAGTACTGTTCAAAATATTTCCTTCTTGTCAAGAACTTATGCACAAATCAGTTCCCATCACTTCCACGCATACTCCATTTTCCAGTTATATATCTTACAGAATCATTGACAGAATCCAGCCATCACAAGTTACCAGAACGTAGGTGACTGTCAGAAAATATTAACAGAGTTTGCCACTTTTCAGGTGTTGCTAGAGTAACACACATACCTCGGCAGATGGTCCCATTCCCCACGTATCCGGGTTTGCAGGTGCAGCTGTGTCCCCTGACAGTGTTCGTACAGATTGCATTTTCATCACAGTTATGCTGTCCACTACCACACTCATCATGCTCTAGAAGGAGAGGGGAAAAAGAAAAAGAAATTACAAGAGAGACAGTGAGCTGTTCAGTGTGATGATGTGGCATTTGAAAACCAAGTGGAATAAAAAGGTTGCCACAATGGCTGAACACTGGGAGTTTGCTGTGGGAGTCAGCTATGGGTCTGCTTCAGTCACAAGACTTAACACGTGGATGGTGACAGTAGACTATTTAGTAACAAAAACAGGGAAAGAAAAGAATCAGTGAGAAGGCAAAGTACGGCTATGGCAAAAACCCAGGAAGACGATTATCACAGAAAAACACCTGCTGTAAAGATTAACCTCTATATCACTGTCCATCACCAACAGTAACAAGTATAAATACAAGGTAAGCGAACACAAGAGAGGGACCCTAAGAGCACATCCTTTAAATACACAGTTCAGTTCTCACAGCCACTTGTTCTAACACATACTCAGCTGACTCTTTCTTAATAGCGTGAAATAACATTTTACATTTTGAGAGTACCATTCATACCACCGAACCTCCAAGAGACTTCCAGACAAATGGGCCATATTTTGTTTTCATCCTGCAACTCTAACTGATGCTACTGAGCCTCATTTGCTGCAGCTCCTGCACTTTACTCCCCTGCTACGTTTTTTTCTAGTAAAGCATCAGTTAAAGGTGGCGATCTACCTGACCCTGAAGTTTCTCGCTTCTTGCTGCGATTACTAGGAGCTTCCCTCATGCAGTAGGATCGCAAAAAGAAGACCTGAATATTTTACACCTTTGCGCTGGTGGATTTACAGTTTTCAGTAGAATCAAGGGGATGCAATGAAATTTCTTAAAACCATATGAAGGTCAACAGACATCATCAAAAAAATCATAATCTGGAACCCTTCTCGGAAGTCTCTGTTTATGCAACTGCAGTAATCAGGCTAGTATCCATATAATCAGAGGTAAAAGGTATCCCTTTCTGGAATCAGGGATTTGCTTAAATATACCACGGAGCAAGGGGTGTTCAAAGGATTACAGACTAAATTTAGCCTTCTGTAGACCACAGAGAGAGGTAGTGCCTCTAAAACATGAGCAAACTACTCATTTTTACAAACTCTGAATTAACCTCTTTAGAAGAGCCTCTCCATTGACAGCAATAGGATCACAGGATTCACTAAGCTAAAGTTAACTTCTGCAATGACCTCACTTCCCCATAACATAGAATGACAGCCAATTTCAAAGTAACTAAAGGCACATGGAGATTTGAATGGTGGATTCCAAGGAACCCTCCAAACCAAATACTTCTGGAACACTGTTGATAACTATTTGCAGAACATATATCCGACATATGTTTTCTATTTTTCAAATACATTTGACAGCAAAATGATATAAATTGCAACCATTTTCTTTTAAAGAGCATCAAAGTGATACATCACTCGCTCACTCTTTGCTTTTAGCAAGAAACTCTCATACACACACGCTCAAATGTGCCTGGCTTTAGCTGATAAATTCAGGCGTACATTTATACTTGTTAGTTTATGATGGTCTGTAGCTCTGCTTAGTAATTCACTTCAGCTCCCTGCCAATTTTCAGATGCCTTACACATTCGGAATGCTAGGCTTCTTCAAGGGCTGCCTGTTCTCTCCTTCATCTTTAAGAAACCGTACCACAGCCTGATTCTTGCCACTCCGGTCTCATGGTGCTCACACTGCTGGGTCAGACACATAAAGTATGGACCTACCCTCCAAGGAAGTGCTTAGCAGGCACCTGAAGTTGAATGATGCTCTCTTTTAAAAGACAGACCCTCTCCATAATCTCTCCCCCCTCTTACTACTCTTATTGCCATTAGCTTTCATGTGTTCATATTCAAACGATAATGAAAACGCCTTTGTGATAGGCTCATGTACACACAAGAACATTCCCTCTCAAACAACTGCCTAAGTTAGTCGATTACCTTCTCAGCACTTCAAGTATAAACAAGATTTCCCAGAGGTAACGTGTTTTGCCAAAACACACAAGAGATTATACAATGCTATGTTATTCTAGGACTTTGACCACGTAAGTCGCTGTATTGACCACTCCTGCAGATGTGCAGATGCTGGCAATATTAAAAGATTTAGCACTGACAAAGTTGCGTTCCCACAGTCATACTTAAAACAGAGGTCAATTGTTTCTAAGCTGATATAAATTAAAGAGTCAGCAACAAATCTGACCATGAGAACCTGCCCTTCATGAGACATCCTAATGCTGCTAGCACAAGGACGTCTAAGGAAACCTTGTCTGCATGTGGAATCCCAAGATTTCTTAGTAGCAATATGGCTGCAACAATGGGAACTTCAAATTAAGTTTTCCCTAGTGTAGAGATGTCTATAGACGATGTTGCTACAGGCCTAATAAGAATGAGAAAGCATTGATTTTCTGTCAAGCTACAAAAATCTTTTATTTCAGATGGAAAAATCCTTAAGAGTCTGACAATAGCGAGTTATCTTGGGTTTCTTTCTCTCTCACAAGAGATCATCCATTAGAGTACTTGATGTTCACATTGGGAAGTGAGTGTGGAAGGTGGGCTTATGTTTTGTTTAAATTCAAAGGAGATTGAGTAACTTGCAAAGAACATTACTTTATTACACACATCACTTTCCAAAACCTCCCATTCATGCACATCATACAGAACCTGCTTTTGCTTTAATGTAAATACCATCTGACTAGATAACAAGCAAAGACTGGAAGAGAAAGACACAGAAAAAAGTGAAAGGAGTCACAAACAGTATCATTCCAAAGCACCGAAGAGGGGAGATCTGTGACAAAAATCTCAGTCATATCTTATTTTGACAATTTCCCTTTCAGCTTAAAGTGAGAAGCACAAGAGAGGGGATTCTAAAAGACAAAACAAAAGTTATATTTCTTTAACACACACATACATGTAGATATAAATAAATGTGCTGCCATGCTCAGAAACGAAACTGTCGTCATTAAGTTTGAACAAAGCCATCCATCTCTCTGTGACTTCCATTTGTTATACAATATACACAAAAGGAACTTACCATCAAAGACAGAAAGAACTGGAAGGCTTACTAAGGACAGCACTGTAGGATGCAATCCCCTGAGCCAACACTCATTCTCCTGGATTATTAATATCCATTTCACGAAACAGATAACATTTAAGAACAGTTACAACAGCAGCATCACTTTTGCTTACAGACAAGTTAGTTTATTTATGAAATCTTTGCAAGTTATAGTCAGCATTAGTATTTCTGTTACCCAGGAATCTTGGCTATTACGTCCTTTATTCCATGCTTTGCCTTTGATAAAACCAGTTACTTTTTTGTGCTTCTGTTTCCCGCTATAATACAGAATATTACAAGATGCTATTTTTTTTTTTTTTAGTATTTGTCATTCTTTTGAAACCCTCAAATATAGAAAAATTAAAGGAAATCAATCTTCTATTGCAAAAAAAAAAAAGGAAGAATTAAGTATCAACTACTGGTTTACCCTCTACTTAATTTATTTTTCCTGCAAGCAGAGATGAGGTATGAAACGACACATCATCTCTAAAGCTTCAGCTCACTTGTCCTTGTTTCCTAGCCACCAAGCTACAGCTAAGGCCAGCAAACTACACGTTTAAAACTTAACATTTTCCTTCTGGATAAAAACTTTCTAGAATTTTCAAAAGCTTTCATGAACTTCTCCAAAATCCTCAAGAGTATCTTATTTTCTGATTTCACACCTGAACCAGGCCAGCTTGTGAAGCAATGACTATAAAGATCTTTCTTTCCTCAGCCTTTATCTAGGGATAGCCATCAGCCTCCAAAAGCACTTGAAAGATCACTAGCAAGCAATTAGGCATCTTTTACAAAAACATATGTATGATTCTATGGAATCATGACATGTATCAACTGTGGGCATTCTCTACAAACACATTAAGCAATGCTTCAGTTTTGAAGAACCAAGGCCTTTAAACCAAAATCTCTACAGAAAACTGTTTGAAAAACCTGTCACTGGAAAGTCAACCCTAGTTAACTGCTTGCCTCAGGCAACTGAAATTTTATCAACTTGAACAGAAGCCCACTCTGATAGCACCACTGGTCTGGGTACACCAATGTTTATATGTGGGTCGTGTGGCATAACAGCACCTACACAGTGGTTGAAGATAAGTATTCTAGTTATCTCCGCTTCGTTCACAGGCAGCCTAATAAAAATCAGTTTATCTTGATGATTAGAAAACTCAGAAACTGTCTGACAGAATTCATTTCAATATTACATGGCCTTACAGAGATAAAAATCACCTAAAAGCCAAGTTAATTCACTAGGAAATAGTTTCAAATAGACGGTTAGTTGCATCTTACTATCGTAAGAAGTACCAATACACTCTACAAATTGCAGAAAACCACCTTGTACCAAAAACCAGGCTGTTTGTAAGCACATTGATATGAGGGCTTACAAAATATCTCCTTTTCCCTGAAGTCTCAAAGAAACTAGTTACAGTGCAATGGGAAAACACAGATCATTTCCTTAGTAGCATGACATTAACAAGAAACTGCTGAAATAAGCACAATTAAGCACAGAGAGAGCTGTGATCACACTGCATCCCCCCGTACTAGTGTGCGTGTTCCAAGGCAGACAGACCCCAACCAAGGAAAAGCACAGCAACATCTGCAACATCAGCAGACAACGTCTACTGTGTACATATGTAAAAAAACAACAGTTGAATAATACCTGAGGCAGTAGGAGACCAGGAACAAACTAAACTCCACGGCTGCTAACACAACGCTCACTATAAAAGGTCAAGGCTCTGCTAATAGCTGCGTTAGCTACACCTTCAGCAACAGCAGAATAATCAATCACAATGCATTTCAGCTGTGAAGCCACTGGCTTAAATTTTAAACAGACCTTCAGCTTTCTTCAAAACACAGGTACCTATTTAGGCTAACGAAGTTAAAGCATCTGCAGGTTGTAGCAGCTCCTGCATACCTCAAATGAGCAAGCATCCCAGCTGCTCCTCCATCAATATGTAACCCTGCGGATGGCTGATCACTCCAGT